CCTAAAAATATCGACTAGAAAGCTCATATTTACCTACTTATATCAAAATTATGGGCTAGGTAATCAAATGTAGCACTCCTGTAAGTAAGGACTAGCACTCTGTGGAAATGGAGATTAGATATCTGAGGGACCCATCGGATGGTAAGTGAGTAACAAAAGCTGTTAAGACGTATACTTTAAATAAAGAATAGTAGGATTATTTACGCTAGTGAATGATTTCTGTTTGAAATGATATGCTACTGATTATGTTGGTATTGTAATTTTTGATAAATAAACTAGTCAAAATAGTCTCGAAATCGTTTCGGGGTATTTGTTCAACAAAAAGTTTAGGCATTAATATATTGAGAAATACAAAGAACTAAGTATGTCAGTTTTGCATATTTAGGCTCAAGTAACAAGTAAGGTAAAAAATGAACTCAAAAATAACCATTTTTTGTATGCTTGGTTTCGCAAAACAATATATGCTTTGAAATAAGGTTTTACAAACAAAAGTACTTGTCCAGAAAGTCCACTTCTGTGATTTACTGCATAGTTTTTCTCTGAAATGCACAATTTCACATCTTTACATTACAATGCATATGGTATATATAACCATAGACGGGAAAATAAGGGTATTTTTAGAAGGTACCTAAAAGTTGAACACTTCCTACTGAACATGCAGGTTAGAATTGTGGTGCATACTGATTAGCGATGGATAATTTAGTTTGTAAAGCTTCACTTATCTCAAGTTTCAAAGTGCCTCTGCTACTGTCGGTAAGAGGTAGTGTTGAAGATATCACATGGCCTAATAATGAAAAGCTCACGATTAAATATCAAAACTAGAAGAGCATCAGACAACTTCACCACGGAATAATTTTATTTGATAACACAAAAAATACTGTATTATTTAACCAGTATTTATAATCATATCAAGGCCTTGATATGAATACAGGCAGTTAACTGTGCTCAAAAATTCATCAGTGAATTATACTGTATCACTATTTTTATCAAATAAAACTATTCTATAGTGGAACCATACTCTACCACAGTGCTCAAATTCTATTGTTACACCAGACAATTTCTATCCTTGTTTATAGAAATAGTTTACATGTTTCGAAGGTAGAAGTATGTACATAAGTTTGTTCACATACATGTTAAACTCAATTCAAAGAATACTTGCAGGTTTTGAAAGATTACGGGCAATCTTAAAAGTAACTATTCATATGAGACCAAACAAAATTCAAAAATCAACAAGTGGTTTAACCAATCAAAATGAACATCTGTATTCAGTTTTATTATAGTATGTACAGGCAAACAATATTGTTGCGGCAAACATTAATTCCCTAGTATTACATTAAGGTATGTTTGTTTAAGTTCAGTTATATAACCTGAAAACTTCTACACTACTTATAGTGTGAATTGACGTAAACTGATTGACTGTTTGAGTTTTCAATGTAGAACTTCGCACAGAAGTGCAGCAGTTCAAGTTGTCATGCTCCATATAGCACACAGAGGAAGAAAAAAGATTTCCTGTAGACGACATGTAGCTAAGTTATTCAAAAGACATAGGAACATGCACGGACTAGTATTTGGACATATATATTCTAATGTTTTTGAATAACTTTGCTACATGCTGGTTAATTTCAGTCGAAAGAATTCAAAGGAACAATAATTAAAGAAAATGTACGGGAGGAACAATAATTATTTGGAGAATAATAAGCATTTAGTGGATGTGTGAGACCACAAAGAGTGAATAAATTTGCACCATTATGAACAGTTTTGAGCCATATCACCAAGTTTCTAGTCACTGGTTCTCAGTGTCTCAATGACTTCATCTACACAGTCTTCACCTCCCTACGTGGTTGGCTCAAGCCAACAGTCAAAAACTTCATGGGTTGATGCCAGATTTTAATGTGACCGCCCCTAACTCTTCTCCAACTTAATCCTATGTAAGCTAACATTGCCTGTCGAAGTAGGTGGTGGCTCAACATGCACAACACGTGTCCTACTCATCTCGATCGATATAGCCTCACAACTTGACCGAATGACTAGCCTTGCTGGTCTAACACCTTACACCCACACATCGTTATCACTCACCCCATTATATCGCTCAACACACGAGACTGAATGCAAACATCTGTAGTCAAAGACAACTAGCCTTTACATATATCCCACTCTCAATGACCATTGTCTCACAGACATGAAGGACAGGACGAACTTCGGTGCAGTACATACGTCCTCCGGTCAATAATCGTATATCACGTCTACGCTAGAGATGACATAAGTCGGAAAATATCATACGAATCTTTCGTTTCTGCGCTGAAATTTCGTCAGCAATCAGTCCTAAGACTTGTGCAACTTCCCAAATAAGTGAAGTGGTCAATATGCTCTACTACTTCACTTCCTTTCTTTAAGTTAGGAGTCAGTGTAGTCCCGTCCTGCATCACCATTTGACTTGCATTTGACAAAGGATGCTTAGCATGCCGAGCATCCGAAGATTTCTGCTCAGGTTGTTCAGAAGACTATGCATTCTGTCAGCGTCTCCACCTAGGAAGACAATATCACCCTCATACTCTAATTCGATAAAGCTGTCCCCTGGTAACTAGTCAGTCGCTAACGTAAAAACAATTATTCACACCTTTGACTGTACAAACCTGAAATCATCATGAATACATAAATACATAAATTCAGTTCACAGTAATATTACTTCATAATTTTACAGGAAGTGTAACTTGTTGGAACCTGATTAGGAAATATTGCAAGTTAAAGTCACGGGAACTACTACTGAATAATATTTATCAACATAAATTGTTACCCATTGTAAAGGGAAAAAAGCAATCAGTTAGAATATGCCTAATAATCATTAACAAAGCGAGTAACAACTACCTTAGAATATGTAACATAATGCCCGAAGTATAATTAGAAAAGATGAGAGCCTCCATTACAGTTTTATGGAAATCCATTGACACTATTATCTTGTGTAAGGTTTTCATGATAGACAAAAGAGTGACTATTAACTCTAAATCAATATGATAAGCGTCATTTGCAGAATAACAATATGCCCTAATAGTTTCATAAAACAAACAATGGAAGTACTCAGAGTAAAATCAGAAATCTAATAATCGACTTTAATAACGGTAGACTTTTTATCAACTCTACATTTCAATTGCGCTGTATTCTACAGTACAATGAAGACAAAAAAAACAAAACAAAATAATAATGTCCACTGGATTTTCATCAGTTTAGTAGTACAAATAAAAATACTTTTTAGCCCGATAGATTCTAGTTCCATTTGACGGAGATGAAACAAGATACCCTACAATAGGACAGCCCATCTATAAGGGAATTCACACAAGAAGAAACGTAGCACAGGGTAAGAAGTACAAAATGACAGGCACTACTAGTAGTGTACCGTTAATTAAAAAATATTATTCCACTTTACTATGCCAGTGAATGTCTGTACTACTCACAAATAGGGCCATTTTTCTCTTCTAAATGCTTGTCTGTTTTCAATCAGTTTCGAGTCGCCCACGCATAAGAAAACATCCTCTCAAAATCCATAACACTGCTCAAAAATAGAATCAACTATGATTTATTTAACAGAAAACAATTAAAATCTCTTAAAGATATTACAGCCTAGCTATCCACAAAAGAATTCATGGATTTCGTGATAAAAATGAAGTGAGTTCACCTCAAATCACACTGGATAGCATTCCATGATGACTATTGTCTATTTGATTGAAGATGTGACTAAACGCGCATACTTGTGACAACAAAAACTCCCTTCAAAAAAAGTGACTAGTACTCATTATTGGCCGAATTTAAGGGGATAAAAATAAACATGCTTAAGATATCTACTTATAAAAGAAAATAAAATTACTGTTGAGCCAAATTACCTTTTTCTCCAAATTGTAATAACTAATAACTAATGTGAGACGAACAGAGTGACCCTACACTGTACATAGATGCACTGATATGAAACAAAAGGGTTGTCACTAACAAGAATAGATTAATTTAATTTTAGATTTTCCCGTCGATTGATTGGACCGAAGTGCTCGGTCTCAGGTTGACATGTCGGCTTCTTGTGCAGATGCTTCGACGATGTCTGGGCATGTAATTATAATTTAATTGGTGGATGGTGACTAGCAGTGGAATCCAGGATGCGCATTTTGTCCCATTTGGGACTCGCCAGCTGGATGTACCTGCATTCCCCAGTGAGTCTAGTTATTAAGGTAACCTACGTTTCATAGAGCCAAAAATCTCCCCTAATAGTCGCCTTAAGCGTTAGACGTTTTTAGTCAATTAACAGGCTCCATTGAAATGTTTTATGAGTTTACCAAAACATGTTGTTAAGATTAATCAGGAACATTGTGCAAACATGTTTTCCCACTAACAGTGAGTTCCAATTACTTAGCAGTTAAAGTTGATATTATGTTGTCTCATTACAGATTTCAGACATGAGGTGAGAATATCTATTGTAGTAATTTATTGCAAGGAGAACACCAATAGCTATTCAAACATCAGATACACATAAGACTTTATTTTAAGAGCATAAGTCGCTTAATGAGTATTCGAAGTACCTTCAAGAGAGTGATATCAACGTCAAGGCACTGAGTATATGAGTGATGATCTGAAGTAGACGGGACACTGAAGACCTAATGGATGGAGTTTTTGATGGAAAGAACACCTGGTGTTGTAGACATTATGTAAAAAATTGAACAGGTACATCTTCAAACAATTACATTAACGGTTTTTCTTTGATGTATACTACACATTCTCACATAACAATATTGCTGATGAATATCTGCCTGTGTGCCTGTAGAAAAACAATCTGGTGGCTGGTCAGGCGAGGACAGTTATTTTAGTAGTAAGCTGGACAGATAGTAAACCTTACACTTCAATATTGGTTTTATTTACTAAAATTGGGGTTAACAGTACCTCAAACATTAATGTAAGTTAAACTAGTATACCAAAATCAAATAAGGAACAACATGAAAGAGAATTACAAACTGAAAACTTACAGTAGAATGAACTTGAATTTCTCCGTTTTACTCCAGATTCTGTTTTATTATTGGTAGATGATGCGCTAGCATTGCACTCCATTTTATTTGATTCTGTTTGTATAATATCCTGTTGTGAAGTGACAAAAGATGGACAAGGTACAGCAGTTTCTTTTAGACGTAGTCTTTTGTGACCAACAACCATAAATTCAGAACGAATATCTCGTTCGAAATCGTCTTGTTTAAAGTGCTGTGAGCAAACACGTGAATGTTGAGATGGAACAAATTCCTTTCGACCACAAGCCTTGATCCAGGATGCTGTTCGAGCAGCATCTTTACGGGGAAATCGGAAAAAGCTGAGACCACGTCCGTCATCAGTACGGTTATGACAACCAGCGAAACAACACTGTGGCATATTTTTAATTCTCAATATATTTTGTGTTAATAGCTAAATACAGTCTCTGTTAATCACAAAGGAAATTGTTGGTCAGTTAGGATGGTATAAAATTTTACTGGAGAAAAATTCACGTAGCAAATAAAATAAATATGGGAACAACTATTTGAACTCAATCGAAAATTTTTTTATATTCGGGCCTCTTGTTGTACAAATTTAGTGGGATAGACAATCCAATCGGTTAGTTATGACGTGGGTAAATATCTGGTCTGATGACATCTCATTCGATGTGTCCTAAAATTCAGTGGCCCAAATCGATTGGTTGTAGAAATACAGGTCGAACAGTGGGTGGTATACAGACAGGATCGAAAAATGTTCGACAGACAGGCATTTTATGTCTTTTTCCCATTGGGCCTCTGTGACCTCATCGATTAACTTAAGAGCTCAAAACTTAATCCAGCTGACTTTTTCTACCTCCCATTTTCCTATTTAAACCTCTCTCCCTCCCCTTGTCACCCCTTCATTGTCTAAAAATTCATATTGTATATTATAAGCCCATCTGTTGGGCACATGATTAAGGTCAAATCTAATCGACCTAGGCACGAATTTCTCAAAGTAGGTATATTTGGCATTAAACAGGCTATAAGTGGGAAAAAAAGAGCTAGGTATATATAGCCATCTCTGTAGAATGGTCACGGATTTATTTTTCTCTCTGAAATAATCAATATGAATTTTTCTTCTGTTAGGTGTAACCTTAACTATAAATCTAAGCTATATGCAAACAATTGAATTACCTAGAATAAGTTATACCTGATTTTACGAATAAGCTAAACTGTATTTTCTATAGTTTTGGTTTGTATTTGGCATAAAAACCTCCAACACTGTTAGTGCATTGAGTAACATAAAACTTCTCATGATTGACTTAAGGCTATGACTTTCTCTCTGGCAAGTGTGGTAATATCGTTATTGTCAGGCTAACCAACGCTTACATCATGAGATCGAACGAAGTCACTTGGTTTTTGTTAGTATAAAGTTTGTTAAGAGGCAGACAAGATGCAACCAAGTCATTTTTCCCCACCAAACAGACATTAACATTCAACAAAACCAAACCTATTAAGAAGGCGATAATTCAATGGTCTTTTCTTTAGCTATTCAAATATTTCCGTAGACCATTTGTTCATTGGTTTCTGTTGGAGACTTGACCTACACTTAATCAGAGTTGACCAACATGTAAAAGTGAGGCCTTTTTATTCAAGATTAATGTAAATATTCTGGCTCTTGAAGATAATGAATGGAAATATCAGCACCATTGTGAACGTTTCTGAGGCATGTGGACAGGAGTCTCCAATGGTTGATTCTTAGTATCTGAGGGTTTCTGTTCAACAACGAAAGCCCTTCTACACGCCGTACCTAATACAGTGCTATGGTTTATGCAGAAGTTTGAAGAAAATCACAACAGATATTCAAGCTCTTGGCGTAATCTTTTCACTACGTCCTATTTACTAGTGATATTAAAGGATGGTTAGACTAGAGTGAATAGGCAGGAACCTGGAATTTCAGATCACTGAACTAACTTGCTGCTTGAATGGTAATGTGTTCCTGTAGAAACTAATGGGTTCGATACCACGTCATGTTAAGCGATTTCTGTTTCACTTAGTCCCAACGGATGATCAAGCAGGTGTTTAGTATGTATCCCTAGCAGATACTAGCTATGATGAAGTCTACTTCGAAAACATTTAGATCCTCAAAACTAAAATCTAACTGATGTCAGCTCATGATGAAATCCTCCAACCAATCAAACAAAATCCCTACAAAAATCAATACTTGAAAAAATTGATCTGATGCTCACTAGCGACTGACCGTATTCAGACAATGACCTGGGGTTCTAGTGGGAAGCCGTAACCAGTAGAGTGCAGGAGGTTGAAGGTGAGGCAGTAACTCATCGAAGAAGACATTGTGAAATGGTCGCGCTATGTCATGAATTGGCAGAAGTTAGAATTCATGGGTCATCGGACCGGGTCCCGGTGGCTCAATGGTCAACGAGCTCGCTGGCCTTGTAACCAGAAGGTCCTGGGTTCGAGCCCCTGTGGGTGCGTACTGGTGAAGAGTCCCAAACTAGGACTGAGGAAACAGTTGTCCAGTACTTCCTGATGGTTTTCCAATGGTTCTCTAACTGATGTCAGCTCATAATGAAATCGTCCAAGCTAACTACCAAAATTATGTCATTATGAGCAGACTTTCAAAATTCAACTGATATGAAACTGAAAGATTCAGGTTTATTGGTTTATGAAAAGTTCATGTCCCTGCGTCTGATTTATTGTTAATTTAAACAGTAGGAAAATAATAAATGTACAGAGATAGTCTGAACATTTACTTTAATAGAATTATCTCAATTGCTCAAGGTTCAAACAATATTAAAATGCATACACTGATTGGTCATCTGACAATAACCATTGTCATTAATCTAATCCTTAATGCTGGTGCTAGTTAAATCCTTTCAATCATGCTAGTTGACCCGCCATCAATGTGTACTTTGGGCTAATGATTAGTGAGGCCAAATAGCCTACTGGTAACTGTTATAATTATTTGTAATAGTAGTATTTCGCAATGATCGAATTACAGGAAATCAACCAACAACACAGAGGCGGATGAATTCAGGAATTTGTATTTGGCAGAATTATTTGTAATTCATATAATAAATATTAACAAACAACAGTAAGTATTTAAACAGTACAGTAATAGGAATTGTCAATCACCACAATAACACGTTTGACTCCACCGCTGTGTAACGCATGCTAAAATCACTTCCATCAAGGTTACACATACGTCTAGGCTATGGGTACCAACAAGCACGAAATACAGGTCTAGAGTTTTCTGTTGTTTACCATTAACCATCTAATATTAAAATGTATACGAAATACAAAAGTACACACACACTTCTGTCCAGTTTATCAAGTATGAATCACAGAAGTAGTAAGTTTGTTAAACACAGTAAAAGTAGAGAGGATTACTAAAAATATCGAAATAAGTAGCTATGTAAATTTGATGATTAACTACAAGGGTGAAGATGTCACAACCAGTAGTGGGAAAGTAAATCAGACCTTCAATACCCTGAAATCAGTTTGGAAAGCTACTGCACTAAGCATAAACAGCCAGATCAGAATTTTCAACACCTAATGTCAAGTCAGTCAGTTCTTCTATATAGTCACCAAAACCATATCCACCAAGCTGTAGAGCTCCCTGCTGAAGATCATAGGGACGGTTGAAAAAGATTAACAACAAGGAGCTATGGAAACGAGCCAATCAAGAACTTATTACCAAATAAATATGCTGAAGAAAATGCAGGCGGATCCGACACACGCTGAAGATGCCATCAAAGGACATCACACACCAGGCCCTTGAGTGGAAGGTGAATAGGAAACTATGAGTTGTGCGTGGGTTCAAGGGTGACACGGAGATGAGGTCTTATGGGTAATGGTAGAGCCAGCTAAAGAGGACCTCAGGAAAGAGGTTGAGATGGAGATGTGCTGTTGAAGTCCTATGTTCCACACGGAACCTAATGGAATAATTACAATATCGGACGGTTAGATGGTGATCCTTAGAAAGAGAATAAAATAAGTCGATGGAAACAGCAACACATTAAAGCCAGAAATATTGTAGCTATAAAAATAATTTTAAAAAATCCACAACATCTTGAAATGCAATGTGATCACTGTTCAAATGATGAAAGCAGAATCCACAAATACAATTCCACAAAAGTTGAAAAATAGAAGGTGAAAGTTGCGTAAGGAAAATCAGGACATCATTTTGGACGGAATGTAAACACTAGGGGAAGTGAAAGACTTATAACTGCATACGCAGGTTTAGTTTAAGCCTAATGAATTTTTAAAAAAACACAGTAAATTTTAGTTATTCAGGTCAGTGATAACGTTGAATGACTTAAATTTGTTTATATTATGTTTGAGTATTCCATAGGAGACCAATTTTAATCTCAGTATGTATCATCTGACATCCTTCTCACTAATCCCTCATCTACTTGATTAGAGTATGTGTACTTTCAAGTATTGGTTTTGTAGGGATTTTGTTTGATTGCATGGAGGATTTCATTATGAGCTGACATCAGTTAGAAAACCACTGGAAAACCTGGGAGTACTGGGCAGCTGTTTCCTCAGTCCTGGTTTGGGACTCTTCACCAGTACGCACCCACCAGGCTTCGAACCCAGGACCTTCTGGTCACAAGGCCAGCGAGATCGTTGACCATTAAGCCATTGAGACCCGGTCCGATGACCCATGAATTCTAACTTCTGCCAATTCATGACATAGCGTGACCATTTCGAAATGTCTTCTTCGATGAGTTACTGCCTCATCTTCAACCTGCTGTACCCTACTGGTCACGGTTTCCATGCAATCAAACAAAATCCCTACAAAAACCAATACTTGAAAATTAACCTGATGCTCACTAATGACTGGTCCTATTCAGGCAGTTAACCTGGGGTTCTAGTGGGAAGCCGTAACCAGTAGAGTGCAGGAGGTTGAAGGTGAGGCAGTAACTCATCGAAGAAGACATTGTGAAATGGTCGCGCTATGTCATGAATTGGCAGAAGTTAGAATTCATGGGTCATCGGACCGGGTCCCGGTGGCTCAATGGTCAACGATCTCGCTGGCCTTGTGACCAGAAGGTCCTGGGTTCGAAGCCTGGTGGGTGCGTACTGGTGAAGAGTCCCAAACCAGGACTGAGGAAACAGCTGCCCAGTACTCCCAGGTTTTCCAGTGGTTTTCTAACTGATGTCAGCTCATGATGAAATCCTATATGTGTACTTTCAACAATTCAAGTAGTCTGATACTATTTAACTTACAAGCCGCTATAGAATTCCCATCAAATATAAACCAGCTCATACTAATCTTAGCTATATTCAATTTTAATGATGCAAAACACTGTAATATTGGGAAGATACCATCTACTCACATTGCTTTGAACTTCATATAACATCCAAAAGAATATGATGTTGAGTTGGTAGTCATTTTACCAACTATCTCTATTATCATTTCAGGCTTTCACTAAAATCATTCAATAATTTAAATTTCATAAGCCCACAAAACCCAGCTGAATTTAATCATCTTGAAATATAGATCGAACTTTACTCAAAAAAAGGGAATAAAATTTAAGCAGAGAGTTATGATAAATCAACTTCAAAATATGTACTTTTTCTTTCTGTAAAAATTTACTGTATTCCGATTACATTGACA